CCATCTCAAATTGTAAAAATTCTGAAAGAAAAATAATATAAGTTTACTTAATTAAATCCTTTATTGACATCCATATTTTAGCTAATGTACATTTTTTTCTTTGAAATATTAAAATATTTTAAATTCCCTTCGAAATTTTTTTTTTGAAAATTCGATTTTTTTGAAGATTAAAAACTTTTTTTTTTTAATTTGAATTTTATTGAAAATTTTGATTTTTTTGGAAATTTCAAATTTTTTTTGAAAAATTTGGCGTTGAAACTTGTTTTAGACAAATAAAAATTTAAATATCAATTCAATCCGAATTTAATCTTGATTTTTTGTGCACTACACTGCACTACAGCTGCTTTTAGTTTATTCAGAAATGCATCCACGGTAACGCAGATTCTTAATTTTTTAAATATTTTTTACTAGCTTAGATAGTAGTTATTATTATTACTGATGGTAACTGCAACTATCAGGTTATATTAGGAATTACAATTTTGATAATAGTAGTAACTAATTAAAATAATAACAGTTATTATTACTGATTACCATCATAATAGCAGTAGTTACCGTCATGATGGTAAATACGACAATTCAGTTGGTTTACTTAATTATTTAAATAATATTTACTTCTATTGAATTCAGTTAATAAATTTTAACATAACTAGATAATAAACTCTACTATAAAATTTTCTCCGTGTGATTAATTAAGATTTATTAATCTTTAACACTAATATTTATTTAAAATAAAAAAAAGGAAAAATAGCAATTTTCTTTTAATACTTTTTATAACATTATACCTGGAATATATGATAATAATTCAATTTACTAAATAAATTAATGTTTTTAATAATTAAAAATATAAAAGATAATTATGAGTTACGAAAGAATCGGGTATTTTACAATAAACGTTATTATAATGTAATATAATTAATGCAAATAATTTATAAAGATGATTTTTGTTTATAAACAATCTTCATATCATATGACATTGCAAGCGAAACAAATTCACTCAAAAAAATATCTTAGGGCCAGTTTTTCAATCCGGAATAAAATTTATCCGAGATAAAAGTACCGCCAATAAAATAAAAAAAAAAAAAATAAATAATTCAGCGACATGATATTGCTCTCAATTAGTTCTCCATGAATTTCGTCGTTTATTTGAATGAAAATAAATAAATATATCATAAAAATAATAATAATCTGTTATTGTGTCATTTATATAAATAATTTTTAATTAATTAACACAATTATTTAATTTTTAAGATCCAATACTTCAAATTAAAATCAATATAAGAGGATAAAAGGATCACATGAACATCAAAATACATCAACAGCATTGGTAAACGCAACGTTTCGTTATATTTCATAGCTTCTTCAGGCTCTGTACAACATAAAAATTAAAATATACAATTATTACAAAGCTTACATATCTTGTCATGTTGTACATGTTACGCTATACGACATACTTTACTTTATTTAAAATTACTAAACTCAATTAATTGTCTTATAAAATTATCAAAAAATTTTTTAGAATAACAGAAGTATTTACACGTTATGTGACTGATCGTCTGTTGTGTACTCACATGTGTTTGCGATAACCTGTAACTCGAGTGACTTCTGTTATTCTAAAGAATTTTTAGCATGTGAAATTTTCAGATGCCTGAAGAAGGTCGGATAAATGACCGAAATGTCGCAGAAATAATGATGTAATTTGTTATTATGATCCTATCTTGTCCACATTCCTGAGATAAAAAAATTTATTGATGTTAACTATGGACGATAATATTAATTATAATAAATTAAATTATTAATAGTTAATAAATCCTTCTGTCAGTGTAGCTTCTTATGAATCTTATGAAATGACCTTTCCTACTTTCTACAATTTTTTTAAATTATTCTTTGAAAAAGTAAAACACACGCTTCTACGGTCAATCGAAGTAAAAAATACCAAATAAATAATTGTTTTAAAAAATTAAAAAGACGATTTAATAAAAAAGCAAAACAAAAAGTAGAAAATAATTTTTAATGAGTTTAAAATAAGAGCAATTAAGAAAAAAATTTATTTTATTGTAAAAAGCCGGGGTGCTTGATGTCAATTGTTGGAAATATTTTATTGACAGATATTGAGTCATTATTAAAATATCTTTAAAAGTACCCCACGCTTTTTTACAATAAAATTAAATTTTCGTTTATTTTTAACTCATTGAAAATTATTTTATATTTTTTAGTAAAGCGGGTTTATTAGCTTTGTAAACTATTATTTTTTTTTTATATGGTGTGTTGAGTAAAAGGCGAGTAATGGAGGTATGGTATTGAGTTTCTTGAGAATTGTAAAGGACAAGATTAATGTGAGCATTTCGAAAGAAGACTAGAAAATGTTGACCGCAAAAAATAAATTTGATACTTCTGGTTAATTAGAAGAGAAAATACATGTTTTTACTTTTTATTTGGTCGAGTTAAAAATTTTGTGGTGAAGTTTGCTTGCTTACTGCAAATATGTTATCAAGAAAAATTTGCTAAGTCACTATTATTGTTTGATTGATAAAAATTCTGTTTAAAATTTTTATTTCAATTTTATCAAAAATAGAATAAAGAAAAAAAATTTTAAACTTCATCATTTTTAATTAAATTAAAAAAAATTTTTTTTTAATGTAAATTTATTGCCTCTTTATTAAACAAAAAGAGTGACATTGAAACTAAGAAATTAATTGACTTTATATTTTATCAAGAACTAATAAAAAATAATATTTTAAAGAAGATTTAATTTACTCTATTAATAATAATAAATCACAAGTATCAAGATTTAATTGTGTGAAAAATTAAAGGCTGAACTTAGATAAATTTATTGGAGAAATATAATAAAAAATTGAGAGGTTCAGTAAAACTTTCAAGTGATTTATTAAAGACATTTAATGACGAACTAATAAAAAAAAATAATTGTATACTTCAAAGTTTTAAAAGAATATTTTTTTTCTTCATAGAATAAATTAATTTATTTTATAAAAATAAAAATAAAATTGATTTAAATTCAAGTTGTAAAATTAAAATTTTAAATGAAAAAATTTTATTTTACAAAATTTATTAATATTGACATTGGAAGTGTGAAGAGTAATAAATCGAAAAAAATCTAACATAAATAGTAATATGGTGAAAGATGTCGAGAGCAGTGATCGCAGATGTGCATCATTCGGAATAAAAAGGAGGGTCGGGAAAAATCATCGCCAGAATCGACAGAATAAGTACACAGAGAGAAAGAAAAAAGGGATGGAAAGGAACAAAGAAAAGTCCCCGGATCACGTGTTAGCTCTCAGCTCGATCCACGGGATTATCACTAGACTTCAAATCGTGGCATCTGCTATGATATTAATATAGCTTTTTCACCTTTTCCCATTTCATAAAAAGAAAATAAAAATTTTTCCTACTTGATGAATTCTTTCATATATATAGATGTCTATATAAATTATAAAATTTTTTGTTATAAAAAACAGAACTCTAGAGAAAAGAGAAAATTTATCTGATAAAAAAGTTTAATTAAAAAGTATGATGAATAATTTTAATGGAAGACAAAGAAAATTATTAATCTACCCTTTGCGAATTAAAATGTAAAAAAACAAACTTTCAGTCGCTGATTCTATTGGCTTCAATGTATGTTCATTTTATATGTATATGTGTATGTAAGTGTGTGTTAAATTAAAACGACGTCCCTGTACTATTGGTACCTAACCCGTAGACAAGCGAATGGAGTAATTGCATTGGGGTACGCAACTTTTTGTATTCCCCTTTTGTAGAACATATTCTCTGGTATTTCTCTGGCTTACACCCTTTCTCTTTGCGGTATATCTCTATACACAACTCGATTCTAGTGATTAAAAGTTAACAAACTATTGTTATGGTAGTTTTTAATTGTTATTACTTTTTTTTGATAAAAAAAAAGTCGTTGAATTAATTTAATTCAATGAAAAACGTCATAGAAAATAACTGCAAATAAGTCTTTACAATTTTTTTCTTTCAATTAAATTTTGTGAATGAAATTAAGATACAAAAAAATAATTATTAATTTAACTAAATAAAAAATCTGGAAATCGTTTGATCCTAATTAAAGACCATCCCTGCAACTTCTCGCTAATTCTATATCTAAACACTTAAAATGACACTTATAACATTTTTGAGCTCTTCCAGCTCAAAAAGTTAGCTGTTCTAAGCTATTCATAATAGCTTGTCCGGTCATAATCGGTTGATTCGTTCGAGAGATATCGTGAACGAAAGAAAACCGAAAAAAGTAATTTTTCGGAATTATACTCCGAAATTCCTAGCTCGATCAATTTAAACTTGAAGGTTCTTTGTGAAGCTCAAAAAACTGCGTTGAATGCCGCCAACCGCGTGAAACACACACACACAGTGACAAGATCGCGGTGGTAGTCAAGGAAGCATTCTGTGATTTTAAAACGTCGAGATCTGATGAAAACTCGATTTTTGCAAAACGAGGTAAAACCAATAACTTCCCGATTTTTTAAAATGTTCGATTTTCTTAGCGGGAAGTTAAAAATTATTGAATTTCATTTGGAATTTTCAAATTTTTTTAATTATTTTCAACGGAAAATTAATAATTCATATTTGATTGCCTCTTAGATAAAAAATTATTAAAGTTCATTAATATTTTTGAATAATTTATAATTGTTCTCTATGATGAAATAAAGGTTGATAGCTGGTTGTACTGTGAATATAAAATTATTGAAATTTATTTGTAATTTTGAATACTTTTGAATTGTTTTCTATGAATACATGCAACTTTATATTCGATCATGCTGTGAATATTAGAAACTTATTGAAATGTAAGGTAATAAATGTAATGTTTATTGTAATGTAAGGTAGGCTCTTCTTAGAGACCAAATTGCACCCAATCCCCTCCCCTCTTGTGTTTCTACAAAAAATTGGCAAATAAAAAACAAAGTTATAAATTTATTTATCTTACAGATATACAAACTTTCCTTATTGACTAGGTAGTATTATAATATTCTCAACAATAAAACAATAAGATTATATAATGTTATTGTATGCCATTGTCTTTTTGAGTATAAATATTGGGAGCAGCAGCACGAATATTAGTTAAAGCTTGTATTTCAAAGCATTAATTATAATAATAATTCTCCACGAAAAGAAAAATCCTAGCTTCTTTTTAAAATGGCTAAAAATTACGCAACAGTTTTGCTATTAGTCTGCTTGTCATTTATAGTGATAATTTCTTCACCGCAAAATGCAGTCCAAGCAGATAAGCTCATTGGAAGCTGTGTTTGGGGTGCAGTTGATTATACTTCCAACTGCAACGGTGAGTGCCAACGACGTGGGTACAAAGGAGGCCACTGCGGAAGCTTTGCTAATGTCAACTGCTGGTGTGAAACATAATCAACAGATCCGATCAACTAAAAGCTAAATTTCGGATTATTGCTATTACTCGTTCTACTGGCTATTGAGTAAATCCGACACTATATTATTATAACTATTCTGAAGATAACCCAAAAAAATTTAACAGTTATTTAATTATGATTAGATTATAGTGGATATTTAGCTACGAATCATTCAATTATTTCATTTATTCACAATAAATTCTGTAATTAACTAAAATTATAACTTTCTCCAATTAAATAAATGTCAATTATCAACAGTTTTCAATGTTTAATCGATTATTATTTACCTTATAACATACATTGTATATATAAATAAATTTCATTAATTCGCTCGTTCAAGTTTACTAAGTTCTTAGCTGGACTGAGCTTAGATTAGTATACCTTGCATTGTTTTCTTATAGATATTCTTTAGAGAGAATGCAGTCACTTTTACGACTGCCCAATTTCAAAACACAGTAACTGACAATTTTAAGATTTTTAAAAATTTTTCTAAAAGTTATAAAAAATGCAGCAATGCTAAAAAAATCAGGTATAAAAATTTTGCAGTTACTGTGTTTTAAAATTGGGCAGCCGTTTAGTTTTTAGCACGAGATCTGCTAAAATCTGTCAAGAGTTTAGTAAATTTGAATGAGTCCAATAAAATAAAAAGAAAAAAAGGAAAACAGTTGACCCTGAAGGCTATCCCTGCAACTTCCCGCTAATTCCATACATAGGCACTTAATATTGCACTTATAACGTTTTTGAGCTCTTCGAGTTCAAAAATGCAATTTATGTGTTATTTTGAGCTCTCCGAGCTCAAAGAGATAGGTTGTCTATGCTGTTGAGAAATGAACCTATTCTATTCTTTTAGTTAAGAAATGACCCTGAATCTTGTGAACTATTGACATTTATAAAGATATAAGCTCATCCTGATGTTACACTCATCAAGACCTTTCATTTGAGTACCCACATCAATTTTTTATATATTTATCCGAAGACACGATAGTGTCTCGCGCCAAGTACACGTCCAACATATGGCGTGAGACAACGTGTCTTTATTCTCTAATCATATGTCAACATAACCTCTTTACATATTTAGCTCTATATTTTTTATTATTACTAAGACACTAACACTTTACACCATTGTTAATAAGTTTCTTTTTACCAATTATACATATATTACAAAAAAATGTTGGGTCTTAACAATTATTTAACTAATCGCGAGTTTGAAAATTTTTACTTGCGCCTGTTTTCGATTCTACGAGAGATTTTACAAATTTAGGGCGAATTTTATTATTTCGAAGTTGGCACTACTTAACTCTGTTATTCTACCATCTAAATAGCTAGTATACTAAATACTAAATTGAACTTAGCGCCTATAAGTAGTTGGTCTTTAGTTTAGTCAGATTGGTCAGTCACGCGCATCATTTAAAGTAAAAATATTGTAATAACTTCGTTTGTAATTAAATTATTACAAAAATTCATGAATAATGAATTAGCTGCATAACTTAAAAAGTAAATATTTGGAATTTAAAAATGCTGATAAAATATTTGAATATATTAAGGGATATAATCAAATATTTTATCAGCATTTTTAAAATTCCAAAAAATAATTTTTTTATGCACACTAAGGACATTTAATTTTTTTCCTTAATTATTTACTGTCTTTAACGTTTTTTTAATCTACAAAATTTTTTGTACTTGGATTTTTTTTTCGATTTAATAATTTTTTGTAAAAATTGAATTATCAAGGTTTGTAACAATAGTTGGACGTGTACTTGGCGCGACGGTTTACAGTGAAACTGTTTTTTGTGGGATATATATTATGTATATGTATATATGAAAATGTATATATCAAAATGCATGTGGGTATTCAAATGAAAGCTCTTGATGAGTGGAACATCGGAATGAGCTTATATCTTTAAAAACGTCAATAGATAAGAAAGTACAGTGTAATTTAACAAAAGTAATTATTTAATAAAGCAAAATTTTATTGATTTATAATTCATAAGTCAGGGCAGTCACATAGTGACTGCAAGGTTGCTAATAATTATTAATTTCATTAAATGAAAAATGTACTTAAATGTTAACAATGTTTTTTTTTTTTTTTTTTAATTTCAAATTGTAAGTTAAATTAAAAAAATTTTTTTTAATATAAAAATTATAAGCAAAATTTTTTTTTTTGTTAAACAGATGTAGCGGGCGCTATCACTGCCGAGTGACCATCAACGAAGATCATCCAGGCGCGACAAAGTGGCAGCCGGCTAACCTGCGGCTTAAGTACGCATGCATACCCGGTAAGGCCTATAACTATTATTACACCAATTAAACTAACAATGTGACCAATAAACAGCAACAATGCCCCGCAGCAAATATCCTGAAGCAGCTTATCCTGTGTCCACATTTCCCACAATCGAAAATCATGCGGCGACAAATCAAATTAAACCTAATGTCGAGATTAGTATCATGTTAAACAGCTGGCTATATAACATAAATAAGGCTTATAATTATTATTTACACAAGTTTTAAAAATTCTCACTTAAAATAAAATCAAATTGAAAAAAAAATTTTTTTTAACTAAAAAAATGATTAAATAGTTAAAATTAAATAAAAATAAAGAATTAGTAGAAGTTAAAAATAAAGAAATTGAAAAAAAATAAAAATTAATTAATTAAAAAATAAGAAATTAAAATATCAATATCAATAACAATTTTAGCAACCCTTTGTATAACTTAATCATAATAACTACTTTAAAATTTTAATTGAATTGAGTGGAATTTATTTGAATTTGAATGGCTACTTTAAAAGCCAGAAGCGAGATGAACCTGCTCGGTGGAATGGAGAGTGAATCAATGGCAAACAATAAAAAAAAAATAAAAATAAAAATCAGAAGTAAAAAGAGAAGCGAGGTGGATTTTTTTGTTGTGTCGTTACTGTTATATAGAGTGTAGACCTGCAAGCTTATATTCATATATCTATATTTGATATCTCTATCTACATCTACATTTATAAATCGCAACCCCTAGATCTAGCTGACTCTTGTTCCCATCTGTTCATTCCCATCCGGGAGGCCGGGAGTGAACTGCAGGGGGTAAATCGGAATAAAAGTCGGCCAAGGGCGGATTCGCGAGCGGTTTTCACTGTCTATTTTTTTAAACTGGAAATTAATTATTAATAATTTATAAATAATTTTCAGAGAACGCGGTTAACAAATACTGCAACATGAAAGTGACGATTGACGACAATCAAGGCGGGTATGTTAAGTCTCCGGGTTATCCTCTGTATTATCCTGGACAGTTCGCTTGTAACTGGACTTTCCATACCGTTCCAGGTCACAGAGTTTCACTGGTCTTCCATGACTTTAATATTCGCAGTAAGTTTTTTTTTTTTATAGAATTAATATTATTATAATTATTAATTATTTATTATCACGCTTTTGTACTCAAAGAAAAAAATACTATTAATTATTATTAAGAAAATTTTCTTGACACAAAAAAAAATATAAAAAAAATTTATAACTTTTTTTTTTAATATCTATCAATAAAATATTTTTAAAAAAATTCATCAAGCTCCCACACTTTTTTTACAACAAAATAAATTTTTTTGTTAACCGCTCTATTTTTATTTTAAACAATAATTCATATTGTAATTTACTTTATTCACTTGCAAATGAAACCCCAGGTCCTGAACCGAACGGAAGCTGCCTTGACAGCGTTAGGATTCGTGAGAACGGTAGAATTTTATTTGACTCCTGCGGAACGAGAGCTGGAGTTAAAATAATCTCCCATTCTAACAAGATAACAGTCGATCTCATCTCTTCGTCACGTGTCTATCCAGGAAGGGGATTTTTGCTTCACTACGAAGGTACAGAGATCTATTTTTCGTCTCAAAAAAATTTTCCAGAAGAATTCTGGAACCAGGAAAATTTTTTTAAGAGTTTTATGGTTTCGATTTGAGTAAAGAAAAATTAATTGAGAAATTCTTGATCTTTATAAATTATTCCAGCAATAAGGAGTTGCCCGGAGACGACAGCCCCTAAAGGAAGCTACGTCACCAACGATACCCTCGACTCTAGAACCTTCAAGTGCTTCTCGGGGACGATATTCCCGGATACAAAGGAGCCCACAAGGACTCTTGACTGTCGAAATGGGCGCTGGAACGAGAATATCGACAGACTGCCAACTTGCGTCGGTAATTATTCATTCAATTTATTAAATATCTATTATTATTAAGAGAATAAGAAAAATTTTGTGTCCGGATTAATCATAAGATAAAATCGGTTTTTAGTGAAATATAGTGTCATTGCAAAGGTTTTGATTTGAATTTGTGCCTTATCAAGGTTTCATATCATTCTCACCGATAGTCAATTTATGACGATTGGTATTTAGACTGCATTCGAAAATGCTCTATCTCTATAGATACATAATTAAGAAATGGTTTTGTATCTCGTCAATTATTGACATTTTTAAAGATGTAAGCTCATCCCGATGTTACACTCATCGAGACCTTTCATTTGAGTACCCACATCAATTTTTCATATATTTATATATATTACATATATGAATATATGAAAAATATATCAAAATGCATGTGGGTACTCAAATAAAAGCTCTTGATGAGTGTAACATCAGGATGAGCTTATATATTTAAAAATGTCAATAGTTAAGCAAGTACAGTGCAATTTAACAAATATCTTGTGAACTATTGACATTTTTAAAGATAAAAGCTCAGTCTGACATTACACTCATCAAGACCTTTCATTTGAGTACCCACATCAATTTTTCATATATATTATATAT